GGTGCAGAGACCCCGCCCCTACAACAACAACAACAAGATTCCATTTATAAAGCGCCTTTCACGTCAGGAGGACGTCGCAAGGCGCTGCACAGTTGGGTCATGACCCGAGCAGGGGGGAAATGGTCAGGGTGAGGGGAGGGGAGGGAGGGAGTGAGGAGGGGGAAGAGAGTCGAGAGGGGAGCTGAAGGCTGAAGGTCAAAGAGAAAGGTTTTGAGACCGGCCTTGAAGGAGGAAAGGGAGGAAGCGGCGAAGGCACTGGGGGATGGAGTTCCAGAGCCTCGGGGCTGAGAGGCTGAAGGCCCGACCACCGATGGTAGGGCGGTTGGGGCGGGGGACGTGGAGCAGACCGGAGCCGGAGGAACGGAGGGTACGGGCAGGTAGGTAGGGGGATAGTAGGTTGGAGAGGTAGAAGGGAGCAAGGCCGTGAATGGCCTTGTAGGTGAGGATGAGGATCTTGAAATCACCCCTATCAGGGTGCTGAGGCCCCCCCTACAGTAACGTCCTCTGCCACCAGAAGGCGCCACTTCATCGCATTCAATTTTGGTTCCGGCAACTCACTTTGAGGTTAACACAACCGAATAACCCTTCGCAAACCCAGTCTAAGCCGTTGTATGTTTGTCCTGTCGCCCCCCCCCCCCACCCCACCCTCCCCACCCCCCGAGCGGCCACCGCATCAAATGTAAGGAAACAACATCAAATTATATTACAACAGAAATGTTAACCTTCAGGTGTGACTTTTACTGACCTGACAGCCCGTCAGCCGCGCGACCCTTCCCTTTCTCTTGCCCGCCCGATCCCCTCGTGAATAGAGAAGCAGAACCATCTGTGGGAACGGCCAGTAAATGTCCGTGAGTGAGAGAGAAAGAGCAGCAATTACTGCCTCGGCGGCTTCCACAACAACAGCGAGCAAAGTTCCTTCATCTGTCAACACTTTCACATTCACTGGGGGGAGGGAGCAGCTCAGTCACGTGTTTCCTCAGAGGATCTCAGGATTTCCAGTAAATCAGATGTTGTTTGCTAAATAATGAAGCTCGCCATGATTGGTTCAGGTCCTGCCTTTCACACCGCTTCCACTTTGTCGTGGCAAATGGCTTCTCCTCCAGCCCCCGCACCATCTCCAAGTCTCCAGAGTGTAGTGGGCGCAGCACTTGCCTGGCAAGAGCCGGGTTTGAAATAATCAATCCCTCCAAAATAATGTTATAAATGACGAGCTGTACCATCCAAAGGCTCCAATATGGGAACAAAAAACAGAAGTGGCCGGGAACGCTCAGCAGGTCAGGCGGCATCTATGGAGACAGGAAAGTGAGTCAATGTTTCAGGTCCACGGCCCTTCGTCAGAACCACATGTATGCGGGTGATACCCAACTCTACCTCTCTGCCTCCACCCTCGACTCCAGGGCCACTGCTGTCCTGACAGAATGTCTGTCGGACATCAAGTCGGGATGAGAGCTAACTATTATTATTATTATTATTATTATTATTAACTTCCTTCAGTTGAACATCAATAAGACCGGGGCTCTCCTGACTGGCTCCCGTCAGCGCTGACAGAATCATCATCCAAGGATGCACACTCCGCCTTGCTAATCCAGTCCAGAATCTTGGCGTCTTGTTTGACCCTCAACTATCCTTTCTATACCGCATCTGCGCCATGACCTTCCCCCAACTCCGCAACATTGCCCGTCTCTGCCATTCTCTCACAACGCAGGTGCCGAGACCCTCACACGCACATTTATAACATCCAGGCTCGGCTATGCAAACTCCCTGCTTCACGGCCACCCCAATTCCTTCCTCCATAGGCTATGTCCTCTCCCGCACCAGACACCGCGACCCCATCATCCCCATCCTCGCCCGACTCCACTGTCTTCCCATCACACAAAAGATACAGTTCAAGATCCTGTTCCTCACCTTCAATGCCCTCCACACCCTCTGCAACCTTCTAACTCCCTACCAACTCTGTTTATCTGACTCAGGCCTGCTTCACGTCCTCCGCCTCGCCTGCCGCATCAGTGGCGGGCGGGCCTTCTGCCACTCTGCTCCCAACCTCTGGAACTCCATCCTGCAGTAACCCCGCCTCAACCCCTCCATTGCCTCCTTCAAGACCTGTCTCAAGACCCTCTTTGTTGGTGCCTTCTGTCACCCTCATTCCCCCACCCTCCATGAAGCCCACCAGGTGCTCTCTGGACCCCATCCCCACCTTTCTCCTTAAATCCCAGCTCCACCTCCTCGCCCCACTACTCGCCAACATCATTAACCACTCCCTGACACTGTTCCTTCCCCCCTCAAAACAGCCACTATCACCCCACCTTGAAGAAACCTCTCGACCCATCACAGCTATCTAGCTACCGGCCCATCTCAAATCTCCCCTTCCTATCCAAGGTCCTTGAGAGCTGTTGCCTCCCAGCTTCGCTCTTTCCTCTCCTCTCACTCACTCACTCACTCACTCACTCACTCACTCCATGAACCCCTCCAATCGGGTTTCCGTGCTGCCCACAGCACGGAAACTGCTCTGGTCAAGGTCACAAACAACATCCTGACCATGTGTGACCAGGGCTCCCTCTGCCTCCTCATCCTCCTTGACCTCTCTGCCGCCTTTAACACCGTGAACCACTCAATCCTCCTCCACCCAACCTTCAAGGTTCTGTCCTTGATTGGTTCAGGTCCTACCTTTCACACCACCTCCACTTTGTCGCAGCAAATGGCTTCTCCTCCAGCCCCCGCACCATCTCGTGCGGTGTTCCTCAGGGCTCTGTCCTTGGTCCCCTCCTCTTCACCCCCTACATGTTCCCCCTTGGTGACATCATCTGCAGACACGGGGTAAATTTACACATGTGTGCAGATGACACCCAACTCTACCTCTCCGCCTCCACCCTGAACTCCAGGACTACTGCCGACTATGGGAACTCTCTCCTCGCCGGCCTTCCCGACACCTCCCTCCACACTGCAGGTCATTCAGAACTCTGCAGCTCGTGTACTGTCCCGCACCAGACACCGCGACCACATCACTCCCACCCTCGCTCGCCTCCACTGGCTCCCCATCCCCCAGAGGATCGATTTCAAGATCCTCATCCTCACCTACAAGGCCATTCACGGCCTTGCCCTCTCCTACCTCTCTGACCTACTATCCCCCTACCTACCTGCCCGTACCCTCCGTTCCTCTGGCTACGGTCTGCTCCACATCCCCCGCCCCAACCGCCCTACCATCGGTGGCCGGACCTTCAGCCTCTCAGCCCTGAGGCTCTGGAACTCTATCCCCCAGTGCCTTCGCCACCTCCTCCCTTTCCTCCTTCAAGGCCGGTCTCAAGACCTTTCTCTTTGACCATGCCTTCAGCTCCCCTCTCGACTCTCTACCCCCTCCTCGCTCCCTCCCTTCCCTCCCCTCACCCTGACCATTTCCCCCCAATGCTCGGGTCCTCACCCAACTGTACAGCGCCTTGGGACGTCCTCCCGACGTGAAAGGCGCTCTATAAATGGAATCTTGTTCTTGTTGTTGTTGTCCTGACCGACTGCCTGTCCCACATCAAGTCCTGGCCAAGGGCCAACTTTCTCCAACTCAACGTCAGCAAGACCGAGGCCCTCCTGATTGGCTTGCAATCTCAGGCGCTGGCAGCATTAGCCTCCACGGCTGCGCACTCAACCTCATTAAGCCAGTCAGGAACCTGGTTGTCTTGTTTGGCCCTGAACTGTCCTGTCTCCCCCACATCCGCGCCATGACCGGCACTGCCTACCACCACCTCCGCAACATTGCCAGACTGCACTACTGCCTCACCCCTCACCCACGCATTCGTCACATCAAGGCTCGACTATGGGAACGCCCTCCTCATCGGCCTTCCCTACTCTTCCCTTCACAAGCTGCAGATCATCCAAAACTCTGCAGCTCATGTACTCTCACGCACCAGGCTCCGTGACCCCATCACCCCCACCCTCGCCCGACTCCACGTGCTCCCCATCCCCCAGAGGATCAAATTCAAGATCCTCGTCTTCACTTTCAAGGCCATCCACACCACCCCTCCCCATGCTCGGGCCCCCAACACCTGACTGTTCAGTGCTTCGGGACGTCCTCCTGACGTGAAAGGCGCTCTATAAATGTAATTTTGTTGTTGTTGTGATAAGGCCCTATATCAATTCCAAGAATTATTATTATTTTATTAAAATAAAAACATGGCAACACTGCTCTGCATTGTGTTGTGTGTTTTTATTGTTTTGAGTTTAGGTGGAGGTTGAAATCACCCATTACGAGCAGGTGCTCAGTGCAGAGGGACAGGAGTGAGAGGAGAGCCGAGATATCAGTGAGGAAGGAGCCAGGAGGTTTGGGGGTTGGTAAACTAGAAGTATTTTGAGGGAGAGAGAGGAGGGATGGTAGAGGGTTAGCCATGATGAGCCTCACGGAGGAGAGTGTGGTAATGGTGGAGTCCAGGAGAGAGAAAGCGAGGAGGGCGTTGGGAGAGAAGGGCAGAGTGGGAGTAGCAGAGTGTGGGGAGTGGGAGCAGCAACATTTTCAGGGGGAGCGGCTCAGGTCGGGGTTGCAGCCAAAACACCTACGCAGAGGCCGGGAGCGAGCAATCAGCATTAGATACGACTAAAGACCACAATTAATCATGGTTTTTTGCTCATCCTGTTGACATATGCGGAAACTATTACCATTATCGTGCTTGAGGATCAGGACTAGGCTATATATCATGCATATGCCATTTTTCTGCCCAGCTGAGTGTCTGACACCTGCGGAGGCACAACACTGTGCTTAAGAATATCCAAACTAAACCGAGAATTTCATGCATCCCACCTACGCATGGAGATCCCAGAGATAGGTTGTTGGAATGGAATGCACACTCTCTCTCTCTCTCTCCCTGGAGGGAAGTATTCTGCTTACCTAATTCCAGAAAGTATTTGGCGCAGGTTGGCAAGAGTCAAGGCATTGGGATAATCGCTGGAGTCTAACGAGCTAAAACCCCATAACTTGCCATTGATATCGCTGTCTGGCAAACTTTCCCGCTTTGTCCAGCAAGGACCACCCTCCCTGTTGGGGCTTTGGCGCAGGGTTAACAGGAGCTTAACTGTTAGCTGAGTGTATCAGCCTCAGGTTGGCAAGAACCAAGGCTTCGGGTTGGCTTACTGCTAGTTTAACCGGTTAAACCCATCAGCTTATCATTGAGATCACTGTCTGCCAAGCTTCTCGGAAAACTCTAAAACATATTTACATTACAAGATGTAGGCCTTGTTTGAGCGATGGGGGGGGGGGGGTGGGGGGCTGCTAAGGATAATTCAACCACTGAGACATCTTTAGCCCAAGATTATCTTGAACCAACACAGATCCACCCAACGGCTTATCTTTAAGTATGCAGCTGCAACGATCAAATGCTTTCATAAGACCTGAGGCAGCTGTGTCCTAACCGGCACTCAGTAAAGCTCTTGTTCTGCAAGTTTCACATCCATGGAGGAAAAAACAAGATGTTAGGTTTTGCCTCGTGAACTTCCTCAGTGAACAACACAGTCTGTATTGTTCCCCTTAATAAAAATGTTGAAGTAGACAAGGGTAATTCCTGAACTTTGTACTATTATAAACATAATTTGCTGCCAAGCCAACTAGCGTGATAAGCCGCTAATCAACCCGAATCACATGGGTGCTTATCACTGGAAGTATAACATACAGACAGTCAGCTGGTTATTTTGTCAGTGGGGGAAAATGCTTAAATGTTTTAGTTTTGCATGTTCTCCACTCAACCAAATTAAAAGATGCAAATCACACTCTGACGCCTCCAGAGATTTTGCAATAAACACGAGCTACATACTGCCTGCCTACGTGAATCATTATTTAACACTTGAGAGAGCAGCACACGTTCAAACGACTTCTTCTCCAATAGAAACAGAAGTTGCTGGGAACACTGAGCAAGTCAGGCCGCATCTGTGGAGCTTCTAAAAAAAACGAAAACACAAAGAGCTCGAATAATTCATTCATTATTACTAATAATTCATTAGCATCAGAGCCAAAATGAAACAGCACAGAGGTCAAATTTCAGCATTTCATAATATCCCTTTGAGGAAAGTTGTGAACACATTAAAAAAAATTCAATGATAGGAATGAGAGCAGCAGCATTCTAGTAAACACAGAAACCAAGAAATATTGTATTGTAATGATTGGAGGGAACACAGTGAGAGGGTGAAAGCACTAAGTGCTGTTGTAGCAATAACAGCCACTGAAGAAGAGACTGAGCAGGTGAAACCTGGCACACGCAGAGCGACACAAATGCTCTAAAAGCAGCATTTGAATCCACGCCTCTGTATACCTCGCAATGAGCAGGAACCCAGGAGTCACAACTATGTTGGTACAAGAGGCATTGCCTCACCTATCTGACAAAAATTGAGCCTGGCAAATGCATCACAAGTTAATAATAATAATAATCCTTGCATTTGATATAGCGCTTTTCACGTCGGAGGACGTCCCAAAGCGCTTCACAGAACACACTGTAAAGTGAATTGACTGTATATTTGTGGGCGAACGCGGCAGCCAATTGCGCACAGCAATGTCCCACAAACAGTCGTAGATTGAAAATGACCAATTTATTATTGTTTTGGGTTTTGGAGGGATTATTATTAGGCTCTGTGTGGAGTGGAGTAAGGAAACTTGCCCAAGGTTTCGCCCTCTGCCTGGAATTGAACTCAGGTCTCTCACTTTCAAAGGGAGTGCAACCCACAGCAGTGTACAATCCAGAAGCTTCCAAACAAATCCAAATGTTCTTTCACCTTTGAACAAAGTCAAAGTGGGCAGTTGCACATCATATCAGACGTGGTTTGATAGTTTCACCGATAGAGGAAGTGGAAAAAGCACTTTCTGTTTCAAATTTAATGGAGCCTTTGATAGTCCCACAAACATCCATGGAGTGAATGAGCAATTTTATCCAAGGGATTGTTGGCCAGAGCACTGGGAGAGAGAAACTCAGACATAGTTTAATCTTTCATCTGAATGACGCACTTCCAACAACGCAGCACATTCCCAGCACTGCATTGGAGTGTCAGTTTAGAAGACAATATGAGTTCGTTGTTGCTTTCAGTCTAATATGTGTGTGTGTGTGGGTGTGGGGGCGCGGAAGCTCCTTTGTGTCACAGTAACCTGAGCTGTGCCTCCTTCAACTCTCTCACTGACCGTCCTCGTTTTTTTCCTAAAAACAAAATTGAATTGTAACAGCAACTGGCGACAGACAGAGTGAGAAATGGTTAACAGCAAAACCGAAACTTCTGTAAAAAAACAAGTGCTGTGAATGCTCATCGAGCCAATTCACGCTTCTCTTCAAGAGAGAAATTTTGCTGAGCTTTCAGCTGAAACATGGAACATTGACTCTTTCAAACCACGATCGAGTGACTTTTTGGGAGTTTCTGCTGTTTTCGTTTTAAAATAATTTTCTGACCCGGGTTTTTGTTACACAAACAACAGGACCCATTGGTGTGAAGCGCCGACTGGTGGCGTTTTCAAGGTTATAAAAAAAATGGTTATTTACAGCCTCTGTGGCCTAATTAAAAAAAGTTCTTCGCTGCACCACTTGTGGTTACACTAAACTTTATTGCTTTACTTGGGAGTCCTGTAGTATTGTTTAGAGCATTTGCCTGGCGAGCGAGAGGACCTGGGTTTGATTCGCGGGCAGGGCAAACATTAGGCAAGTTTCCTTACTGCACAGGCCTCTGTAATAATAACCCTCTGTAATAATAATTTGGTCACTCAATAAGATTTATTACCGCCGGCTGAACCTATACAAACCAGTCACCCTCAAGCTGACATTAAGACTGTTTTATTCCTCTTGGCTCAGCTCCCTAACTCTCTCCGCAAACTGCCGTGTGGCGTTGATGGCATCAGAACGCGCTTCAACGCATCCGAACAATGTTCACAATGCAGATCAACACTTTTGCTCTGACAGCCTCAAAATGACAAATCTACTTCTCCCACAGAATAAGAGGCCGGGAACGCTCAGCAAGTCAGGCGGGGTCTGCGGAGAGAGGAAAGGGAGTCAAGGTTTCGGGTCCACGACCTTTCCTCACAACTGAATTCTGACGAAGAGCCGCGGACCCCGAAGCGTTGACCCACTTTCCCCTCTCCATAGATGCTGCCTGACCCGCTGGGCGTTCCCGGCCTCTTGAGCGTTTGGTAACTAGTTGCGCTACCACTGCTGTGCCACTTGGAGGCGCCGATGCGCTGGCACATAGCTGTGCTCAGCCGCGCCCTCTGTGGCCCATCTGCTGCTACTGCACGTCGGGTCCATAATAATAATAATATAATCCTTGCATTTGATATAGCGCTTTTCACGTCGGGAGGACGTCCCAAAGCGCTTCACAGAACACACTGTAAAGTGAATTGACTGTATATTTGTGGGCGAACGCGGCAGCCAATTGCGCACAGCAATGTCCCACAAACAGTCATAGATTGAAAATGACCAATTTATTATTGTTTTGGGTTTTGGAGGGAATATTATTAGGCTCTGTGTAAGGAAAGTGTAAGGAAACTTGCCCAAGGTTTCGCCCTCTGCCTGAAATTGAACCCAGGTGTCTCGCTTGTAAGGCGAGTGCTCTAACCACTGAGCTACAGGACTCCTTCACTGTACTCTCACCATTGCTATATCCTTCCTGTAATATTGCAACAAGAGCTGTACACAGATCTCCAAATGTGGACTAACCAAAGGACAAAACTGAAGTAACTTCAAGTCTCGGCCTCAGTCACAGAAAAGGCCATATATTTACTTCCACCTCAGTTTGGACTTATCATTGCCTTCGTTTTTTTGGGGGGGAAGAGGGTTGTATTATTAGAAGAAATGTTACTTCTGTTTAAGAGGATTCAGAGTTATAAGACAATATACTTCCTCATGTGATTCCTTCTGCCAACTCTCTCCTGTGCTCTGCGGATTTAGACAAGAAGGATGATTCTCTCCAGGGTGAGATGAGAAGATCATGATCACAAGATTGATCTCTATGATGACCTTCCGGCATATCCAATCTCATACCTCCAGAACACCCACCCCACCATACCTACATCACTGCCTCAAACTACTTTTCAAATGAGTGCAGTGAGTTGGTTTCCATCACCTTTCCTTGTATCTGCCCTGGCGTCTGCTCCTCTGGCTGCCCATCACCAAAAGATCTGCACACACTTGTTTTCAAGTCTGAAGTTCCACAAACGTCAATCCAAGCACTTCCAACCCTCTCAATGAGTGATCTTGTAGTTCAGGTGTTTTGCTGCTCCTTCTATTTCCTAAATTAGTCCTGTGACTGGTATCTGAACTACCAATTCCTGAATCATGACGTTCGTTAGAGATTTGTATCGACAAATTCACATCCTCCTGCAAAAGAAAAAAAAGGAATTAAGTTAACTTAGAATTACTGATCATTTTTATGTGGATAATAATCCTTAACGCAGCATTAGAATACCACTATTTTATCTTTATAATTTTGAACTCAAGTTTTTAGACAATACATTTCACATAAAGATAGTAACATTTAATGTACCTCTTTCTGATTGTTTCCTAATTGTGTTTTGTCAACATCATTTGCTGCAAGAAAAATACAGTCAGTTAATAGAAAGAATATGTATCAATTGATTACAGTTTCCAAGTCTTTGGGCTATTATGCCAATGTTATAATAATACAAGAAAAACAAATCTACTGGAGTCACTAATAAAAATGTTCAGCAAATTTCCAAAAGGAAGTTAAGCAGATATGTTAGTAGAGGTATTAAGGGAAATGGCAGAAGGGCGGGGCATTTTATATAACATCCTTCATGTAGGTCAGGATGGTACAACCTTTTGGCGGCTGAGGACCGGATGCCGTATTTGATAAACGTCCGTGGGCCATATAAGCAATATTTCTCTTCCAGAAACACAACACTTACACAGCACCGTTTTCACGTAGGAAAGATGTCTCAAAGCTCTTGACACTGTTTGCTGGACACCTGAGCTGGGGGTGAGAGCCGAGGGAGGTGGGGTGGGAGGGGAAAAGATGATCTTGACGTGCTTCGAAAGAGGGGAAGGAGCGAGTCGGAGACCTCGTTTGTCCCTCGTCCCCTCCACCATCAGTGGCCGTGCCTTCACCCAATAGGCTATGAAACTCTAGAACTCTCTCCCTCAACCCCCCCGGCTTGCCCCCTCCCTCCCCACTTTCAAATCCCGCCTAGAAAAGACTTTGCTTTTTGATTGTGCTTACGGTCACCTCTCCCCTCCCTCTACCCCGGCTCGGTGTCAGATTCCCCCACTGTCAAGCACTCCGGGACATTACTCCGCATGAAGACCGCTATATAAATGCAAGTGGTTTTTTCTCTCTCCCTCACGCTTTCTCTCACACAAATACTCTCTCCCTCTCCTCTCACACACTCTCTCAGTTCCTCTCCTCTCAGCTGGGGAGGGGCTTCCTGACAAGACTCAGTAACGGCTGATATTGTTCCTCCCCAAAGCTCAATGCGCTGCAGTGTCAGGAAATCTCTCTCGAGCTGAAGGGACGGCAAACAGGTCCTTTTACTGACCTTCGGTTCCTGACGCTGCTATGAGAGGATCATTCGCTGTTGGGGGAGGTCCTGAAGTTGGACATTGTGTGTCCCTTGGACAATATTTTGTGGCCCGGACGGCATCCGCGTGAGTCCAACACCCGTCTAAAGAAGAAGAATATTTCTAATTTGACTGATACAAAACAAAGAATAAAAATGTGTTGGTTCAGAAAACAATAGTATTAAAGCCACAAACCTGTACACTTTGTCACAGCTTGTCTCTTCCACCACAAAATTCCAACACCAATCACTACAATCACTACAGGTATTACAATAGACAATACTATAAGTGCTATGTTTGTCTTCTCTTTGCACTCTGCATCCACGGAAGAGTTTCCTGGTCCAACCTCAAGCTTGTTCAATTCTTCACATCTGGGCAAAAGCAGAATAATTAATCAGACAAACTATAGATTTTGCCCATGACTTATCCTAACACATTTAAGCATTACTTATTAGCAAAATCTTTCTACCACTACAGTTTGAATTAGATACACTATTGGTACTTTGGGGCTAAATGGGAATATTCAGAAACACTTGAATCTTAAGAGTTGTACAGTACCCTGTACTGAGCGACAACTCCTGTTTTCTGGTGAGATGTCCGCCTGACGTGAAAGGCGCTGTACAAATGTAATTTATTGTCATTGTTCCCATTTCCAATACAGTTAATTCTATATTCCCAGATGACTTATAAAGTACTTACTTAGTCCATGGTTTACACGCTTCAGTAGAAACATTATTTGAATATGTTCCATGAGGACACTTTTCATACACAGTGTCTTCCCAGATTGTTCCTGAAAATACATATGCAACCACAGAATATTGGAGAATCTTAACTCAGCTAAGTTTGCCCTGTGAAGGAGTCTTTGACAGAGACTGTTACTATTTTACAGCCTATTCTGACAACAGTGTTTGTCACGACTGAAGGTTGGAGGAGGGCCTTGTGGTTGTGTGTGGACACCAACTAATTTATAAATAATAATAATCCTTGCATTTGATATAGCGCTTTTCATGTCTGCTCAATGTCTCAAAGAACTTCACAGAATATACTGTAAAGTGAATTGACTGTATATTTGTGGGCAAAACGCGGCAGCCAATTGCGCACAGCAGCGTCCCCCAAACAGTCGTGGATTGAAAATGACTAATTTATTTTTGTTTTGGAAGGATTATTATTAGGCGCATGGAGTAAGGAAACTTGCCCAAGGTTTCACCCTGTCTGGAATTGAACCCAGGTGTCTCGCTTGCAAGGCGAGAGCTCTAACCACTGAGCTACAGGACTCCACAGTTTAGTACTGGCTGCATTGACTTGGGGTGAGGGAGTGCCTGTAGCACTGTGGAGGAAGGCAGTTTCTGTGAAGCACAGCCACACTGTGTGAAGCAAATTGTATCATAAACGTGAGAATAATTCCTACGATCACAGAAACAAACAACAACAACTTGCATGTATATAGCGCCCCTCACGCAGGGCAGCGTCCCAGAGCGCTTGACAGTGGTGGAGCACGACACCGAGCGAGGGGGAGGTGACTGTAGAAGAGGAAAGTCTTCAGGTGCGATCTGAAGATTGGAAGGACAGGGCAAGGCGGAGGGTAGAGGAAGAGTGTTCCAGAGTTTCGGGGCGTAGTGGATGAAAGCGCGGCCATCGCTGGTAGAACGGAGGGCACGAGGGACTTACAGGAGGCCGGAGCCAGTCGAGCGGATTCACAGTAAAGCTTTAATCTCACACCTTACCTTTCTTTTTAACTCCTTCACCTACAGGACCCAGGCTGTGCTTTCTGCACATCTCACATCCACTCCCTTTCTTCTCCACACAGAAATAACCCTCTTTGCAATGACAAATAGTATTTTGGAGAGAGGTGCATTGCTGTGCATCTAAAAGTCCCAATCCTAAAAATAAAAAATCATGAGATTCAGTGAAGGTTCAATGCTGCAGAGTGTAAACAATGTATATTTCACCCACAAATATACAGTCAATTCACTTTTTCTCGATTGTATCCACACAGACTAACTATTACTCCAATAAACTACAGACCTCTGTTACTCTTTCATCAATACCCATTTTGCTCCTCGCTCCTGTGTTTTGACTGCATTTTACAATGCTCATTTGTTAATAAACATTCCTGACAAAATACAGAGTTTGTCATGAAATTAGTGTAACATTTACCTGAATCACAACTGTCACACTTGAGGCATTTTTCCAGCCCATTGGGATGGTCGATGTATTCACCTTGAGTGCAAACTCTGCATCCAGTGTTGGTCATTGCTGTGCAATGTTTTGACACTCGACTTCCTGAAATATAAACACATATTAGCAAAAGTTAGCAATACTGAACTAAGATATTTGGTCTGATACTGTAACTCTTCCCCACAAAACACTTCACTGGAGAACATTAAAAAAATGACTGAATCCTAATTACCTTCTCATTCTCTACTGCCACAGAAATGCAGTCAATTCACTTTACAATATATTCTGTGAAGCGCTTTGCGACGTCTCGTTGATGTGATAAGGCACTATATCAAATGTACTAATACCTGATATTTTATGCTATATATAGTTATTTTATGACTTCAAATATTTTCTGGAGACGATTTCTACATAGCAATGTCCCACTGACAGCCTTAAAGGGAATGACCAATTTTGTTTGACCGATTGTCAGGCAAAACAGTGGGAGAAACTCCCTTCTCTTTTCCAATAATGCCATTAGGGTTCTTTAACATCTACCAAAACAGGCAAATGGAACCTTAATTTATTTCATGTGTCATTCGAAGGACGACATCTCAAACAATGCAGTGTATACCCAGGACTGTAGTGCAGTGTCAGCCGAGAATTGTGAATTTTTCAATGCGGTGCAGTGCCAATATGGGCTTTGAACCCACAACTCAGAGGTGAGAGTATCACCAACTGAACCAGACCAATACATTTGACATAAGATTGCAGTAATATGTAACTTAGGAGTTTTTAAGCAAATCAGTTTAAATAGGGGACCTCAACATTGGATGACTTTCTGTGAGTTTGGTCCCGATGGATGAGACTGAATTGAACATTTCGCAAGTTGGCTGATGATATGGTTTACAATAAGCATCAACTAACTGATTTTGTTTCCATTTTCCAATTCAGCTGCTAAAAATAATCTTGTAAATATATTCAGCATTTTGAGAAAGAAGGGCCCCCGACGATACCAGGGTTGAGGGACTTCAGTTACGTGGAGAGACAAGAGAGGCTGTGATTATTCTCTTTAGTGCAGAAAAGGTTGAGGGTAGATTTAATCGAGGCGTTCAAAATTATGAAGGTTTTTGAATAAGAGCGGAGAGGGAGAAGTTGTTTCCACTGGCGAATGGGTCAGTAACCAGAAGACGCAGATAATAATAATAATAATAATAATAATAGCAGATAATTGGCAAAAAGAACCAGAGGGGAGACGAGGAGATTTTCTTTTTACCCAGAGAGTTGCACTACCTGAAAGGGCGGTGGAAGCAGATTTGATCAGAGCTTTCAAAAGGGAATCGGATCGGTACTTAAGAAGGAAACAACTGTAGGGCTGTGGGGTCAGAGCGGGGGAGTGGGACTGGTTTTGTAGCTCTGTCAAAGCGCCGTCAAAGGCGCGATGGGCCAAATGGCCTCTCTCCGCGCTGTAAGGTGAGGACTCACCCACAGGACACATCGGGCAGCACTGTCCACGGGTTAGATATTCTCCTCGGCCACAGCCGCTGACCAGGCGAAGGCGGCCAAACAGTAAGAAGAACCACAACATCTAAATTGAAAAAAAAATACCACACACTTACTTCGACAACAATGAGACAATGAGACTCGGCGCTCAAGATGGCGGCGGCGGCCCAGAAGGTCCCCGGACGAGGCCGCCCGCGGCACAGCATCGTCCGCAAACAGAAGAGCCGCGAAGCTGTCGGGAGACCCCACACCCTCCCTCCCTCCCTCCCTCCCGCCTCGGTGCCGGCCAACGGGGGGGGAGGGCGTTGGGGTTCCGGAGAGACCCCCATTCCGCTGTCGGGGCGCAGTGCCGCTCTTCCAAATAAAGGTTAAGGAGAGAACGAGCGCCATTTTGGGCCTCTCACAGCCTCACCGGCGCTCCCCTCACGGGCCGTCAGCCCCGCGCGGCCCTTCCCTTCCCCTTCCCCCCTCTCCCTGACCCGCGCCGCTCGCGGGAGGGGCAGCGGATTCGTGTCCGTGTTAGTGACGTCCTCGGGAGGGCCCAAACCCCACAACTCGCCGCGAACCGAGTGGGACTCTGACAAACGGCACAAAGACGGAACAAACCCGAACATTCATTGCACAACATCACCAGAGAAACGCTCCGCGTCGGTCCCCTGTGGGGGGTGTGGGGGGGGGTGTGGGTGTTTGGGTGTGTGGGGGGGGTGTGGGGGGTGTTTGGGGGTGTGTTGGGGGTTAATAAACTAAAGGGAAACGCGTTGCGACTCGAGTCTGAGCCGTTTGACTGTGTCCTCCCCCTCTCTCTCTCCCCTCTCTCCCTCTCCCCCCCTCTCCCTCTCCCCCCCTCCCTCTCCCCTCTCCCTCTCTCCCCCTCTCCCCCCCGAGCGGCAAATGGAAGAAAAATGTCAAATTGTTATCATTTCTTATCAAACAAAATGAAGCCGCAGATGGTAACGTTTCACTGACCTGAGAGTCCGTCAGAACGCGGAGACTCGTCCCCTTCACAGCGCTTCACCTCAACTCCGCCCCGAGACCCGACCCCCACCCGAGCGATGGGCACTTCAACAACAACTCGGTTTGCTCCGTTACATCCTGTGCTGTGGGTGAGAGGGGGAGTGTGTGTGAGGGGGAGTGTGTGTGTGTGAGGGGGAGTGTGTGTGTGTGAGGGGGAGTGTGTGTGTGTGAGAGGGGGGAGGGGTGTGTGAGTGTGAGTGAGAGGGGAGGGGTGTGTGAGTGTGTGTGAGGGGAGGGGTGTGTGTGAGTGTGAGGAGAGGGGTGTGTGAGTGTGTGTGAGAGGGGAGGGGTGTGTGTGTGTGTGAGTGTGTGTGTGAGAGGGGAGGGGAGTGTGTGAGTGTGAGGGGGGAGTGTGTGAGTGTGTGTGAGAGGGGAGGGGTGTGTGAGTGTGTGTGAGAGGGGAGGGGTGTGTGAGGGGGGAGGGGTGTGTGAGTGTGTGTGAGAGGGGAGGGGTGTGAGTGTGTGTGTGAGAGGGGAGGGGTGTGTGAGGGGGGAGGGGTGTGTGAGTGTGTGAGAGGGGAGGGGTGTGTGTGTGTGAGTGTGTGTGAGAGGGGAGGGGTGTGTGTGTGTGAGAGGGGAGGGGTGTGTGTGTGTGTGTGTGTGTGAGAGAGAGGAGGGGTGTGTGTGTGAGTGTGTGTGAGAGGGGAGGGGTGTGTGTGTGAGTGTGTGTGAGAGGGGACGGGTGTGTGAGTGTGAGAGGGGAGGGGTGTGTGTGTGAGTGTGTGTGAGAGGGGAGGGGTGTGTGAGTGTGTGTGTGAGAGGGGAGGGGTGTGTGTGTGTGAGAGGGGGGAGGGGTGTGTGTGTGAGAGGGGAGGGTGTGTGTGTGTGAGGGGGAGGGTGTGTGAGTGTGTGTGTGAGAGGGGAGGGGTGTGTGTGTGTGAGAGGGGGGGTGTGTGTGTGTGTGTGAGAGGGGAGGGGTGTGTGTGTGTGAGGGGGGAGGGGTGTGTGTGAGAGGGGAGGGGTGTGTGTGTGTGAGTGTGTGTGTGAGAGGGGAGGGGTGTGTGTGTGAGGGGGGAGGGGTGTGCGTGTGTGAGTGTGTGTGAGAGGGGACGGGTGTGTGAGTGTGTGTGTGAGAGGGGAGGGGTGTGTGTGAGAGGGGAGGGGTGTGTGTGTGTGAGGGGGAGGGGTGTGTGTGAGAGGGGACGGGTGTGTGTGTGTGAGTGTGTGTGTGAGAGGGGAGGGGTGTGTGTGTGTGAGTGTGTGTGTGAGAGAGGAGGGGTGTGTGTGTGTGAGTGTGTGTGTGAGAGGGGAGGGGTGTGTGTGAGAGGGGAGGGGTGTGCGTGTGTGAGTGTGTGTGAGAGGGGAGGGTGTGTGGTGTGTGTGTGAGAGGGGAGGGGTGTGTGTGAGAGGGGAGGGGTGTGTGTGTGAGGGGGAGGGGTGTGTGTGAGAGAGGAGGGGTGTGTGTGTGTGAGTGTGTGTGTGAGAGGGGAGGGGTGTGTGTGAGGGGGGAGGGGTGTGTGTGAGAGGGGAGGGGTGTGTGTGTGTGTGTGAGAGAGGAGGGGTGTGTGTGTGTGTGTGTGTGTGAGAGGGCAGGTGTGTGTGTGTGAGAGAGGAGGGGTGTGTGTGTGTGTGAGAGGGGAGGGGTGTGTGTGTGTGTGTGTGAGAGGGGAGGGGTGTGTGTGTGAGTGTGTGTGTGTGAGAGAGGAGGGGTGTGTGTGTGTGAATGTGTGTGTGAGGGGGGATTTGTGCTCCTTCACAACACCCATTTCTCTCAAAACCAAATGCAGTGGTAACAGTAATTGGCCACACAGACAAGTGGAGAAATGCTGAACAGCCAAACTTCTGAATATATATATATATATATAATGATCCTCGCATTTTTTTCATATAAATATATATGTAATAAATACAGATGTATAATAGATGTATATAAAAAACCCCAAAGTGAATCAGGACAACTCACGCCTCTCTACGAGAGACAGATGTTGCTCAGATTTCAGCTGAAATCATTGACACTAAGGCTAATCGAGTGACTTTCGCAGTTATTTCTGTTATAATAATAATAATCCTCGCATTTGATATAGCGCTTTTCACGTCCGGAGGATGTCCCAAAGCGCTTCACAGAACACACTGTAAAGTGAATTGACTGTATATTTGTGGGCGAACGCGGCAGCCAATTGCGCACAGCAATGTCCCATAGACAGTCGTGGATTGAAAATGACCAATTTATTATTGTTTTTGGTTTTGGAGGATTATTATTAGGCTCTGTGTGGAGTAAGGAAACTTGCCCAAGGTTTCGCCCTCTGCCTGGGATTGAACTCAGGTCTGTCACTTGCAAAGCGAGTGCTCTACCCACTGAGCTACAGGACTTCACAATATCTTATTTATAGTTATTCTCGTTTTCACATCATTTTCTAATTTGAGTTGATTTGTGAAGCATTTGCTGTTTGTGGATTCTTAGCTAAAAGTCCCTGAACTTTCCATCTTTCAGATACAATGCTTAACGTCAAGAACTGTTTATCTGTTGAGATGCACCTTCTCGGATCTCGAACATGTTGATACCCTCACACTCTCTCAGGCTGTTTAATGCTTCTGGACTCAAAGCTTCAGCAGCTCATTTAGATAAGGTTTCAAATGCTGTTTTTAGAGTATCTGTGTCGCTCTGCGTTTGTCTGTTGGCAGGAAACCTGTCACATTACCCTTGGAGAGGGATTGTGGCATTTCTGAATACAAATCAGAAACTGACCCAAACTTGTTTTGTTTGATAATAATAATCCTTACATTCGACATAGCACCGTATCACGTCTTCGAGACGTCTCAAAGTGCATCACAGAATGTACTGTAAAGTGAATTAACTGTCAATTGCGCACAGCAGTGTCCCACAAACAGTCGTGGATTGCGTGACCAAATTACTATATTTTATTTGAAGACCATTTGAAGTTATTATTTGAAGTTTGTTTTTGTGTATTTTATGTTATCATTTTATAAATCTAAAGCATTCAATTTTTAAAATCGCCCCTGAAAGAGCTTTGAGTTCTCAATGATCTCTTTGCGCTGATTTACAAGATTCTCTCTTATTATTAATAATAATAAAAATCATCAGTGCATCTGAAACAGCGCACAGAGCACACAACAACAACAACAACAAGAAGATTCCATTTATTGAGCGCTTTTCACGTCGGGAGGACGTCCCAAGGCGCTGTACAGTTGGGTCAGGACCCGAGCATTGGGGGGAAATGGTCAGGTTGAGGGGAGGGAAGGGAGGGAGCGAGGAGGGGGAAGAGAGTCGAGAGGGGAGCTGAAGGCACAGTCAAAGAGAAAGGTCTTGAGACCGGCCTTGAAGGAGGAAAGGGAGGAAGCGGCGAAGGCACTGGGGGATGGAGTTCCAGAGCCTCGGGGCTGAGAGGCTGAAGGCCACCGATGGTAGGGCGGTTGGGGCGGGGGATGTGGAGCAGACCGTAGCCAGAGGAACGGAGGGTACGGGCAGGTAGGGGGATAGTAGGTCAGAGAGGTAGGAGGGAGCGAGGCCATGAATGGCCTTGTAGGTGAGGATGAGGATCTTGAACTTACAGACATTACACTAAACTCGGTGGGAGAGTAAGCTCTGAGGATGATGGAAAAAGATTGCAACGGGATATAGATAGGCTCGGGGAGTGGGCGAGTAGGTGGCAGATGGAATTAATGTGGGGAAGTGAGAAAAACAGATAGAAAAAATAGAAAAACAGATTATTTTCTAGAGGGGGAGAGATTAGATAGTGTTAGTGTTCAGAAGGATTTGGGTGTCCTTGTACACCAGTCTCGAAAAGTTAGTTTGCAGGTGCAGCAGTGACTAAGAAGGCAAACGGCAGTTAGTGTTCATTGCAAAAGGTTTAGAGTACAAGAGTAGGGAAGTCTTGCTGCAACTGTATAGGGCTTTGGTGAGACTGCACCGAGAGTATTGTGTGCAGTGTTGGTCTCCTTATTTAAAAAAGGACATACTTGCCCTTGAGGGGGTGCAGCGAAGATTCACTCGGTTAGTTCCTGGGATGAGGGGACTGACCTATGAGGATAGGCTGAATAAACTGGGGCTGTATTCTCCAGAGTACAGAAGAATTAGGGGAGAGATCTTATTGAAACATAAGATTCTTAAAGGGCTGATAAAGTAGACACTGAGGGTCTGTTTCCCCTGGGAGGAGAATCTATAACCAGGGGTCACAGTCTGAAAATGAAGGGTCAGCCTTTTAGAACAGAGTTGAGGAAACATTTCTTCACTCAGAGGGGGAAATTCACTACCCCAGAAGGCTGAGACTGAGAGATTTTTAAAATATAGAGGGATTTGGGGATAGGGCAAGTAATTAGAGTTAGGTCTGAAGATCAGCCATGATGTTATCGAATGGCGGGGCAGACTCGGGGGGCCAAATGGTCTACTCCTGCTCCTAATTCTTATGTAAAAGTATTTCCAGGCTTCAAACCACAATTGCAAACTCCAGATAAACAAGGGACACAATAATCATGAAATGTAACAGCCTTTTTTAAATATAATTCATCTTTCTTCAAGCAAACTTTGAGACAATATAACAACTGCAAGGATTATTATTGATATAAGACCGATCATCAGAGAAAAAGCTCTGGGTCGCTCCCCTGTGTGTGTGTGGAGGTTAATAAACTAAAGGAAAACACGTTGCAACTCGAGTCTAAACCGTTTGATTTTGTCCTGTTGCCTCCCCCGAGCGGCACCACATCAAATGGAAGAAAAATGTCAAATTATTATCATTTCTAATAAAAAAAATGAAGCTACAGATTGTAACGTTTACTGACCTGAGAGTCTGTCAGACGCGGAGACTCATCCCTTCCCACTCGCTTCCCCACCGCCTCAGCTCAGCCCCGAGCGATGGGCAGTTCAACCAACAACTCGATTTGCTCAAAGTTACACTCGCCCCTGTGTGTGTGTGTGAGAAAGGTGTTGGTGTGGGGTGGTGGGGACCACCTTGTATCACAGTAACCACATTTGTGCTCCTTCACCACCTCCATTTCTCTCAAAACCAAATACAATTCTTACAGTAATTTGTGACACAGACAAGGGGAGAAATGCTGAATAGTCAAAAGGTCGAGACGTCTCAAAGTGCATCACAGAATATACTGTAAAGTGAATCCCTCAGCCCTGAATCCCTCAGCCC